GAACGCGCACCGAGTGAGAATAGCCACAAGACTCGCCTGCACTATTCTCACTCCGGGTGAGAATAGAGGTGGCCTTTTCATATAAAGACTGAGTCTGAGTTAGGAGTGGTCACTCGTTACGGAAGTCCTCCCCGGGAGAAAGTAAACAATTACCTCTGCCTCTAGATCTATCTATATATAGAGGTCTAGAATCTAGATCTAAATTTTAGATCTAACTAATGTTTTAACTAGCCTATGCTACGGTTTAGGCACTATGTTAGTATTGTTAGTGTAGTTAGTTAAACTTCAACACGGGTTTTTTGGCGGGGGGTTTTCCTACCTAAAATAACACAAAATATATCGGAAATAATTTGGTAAATAATCCCCCGTCGTTGAGAAAGGTGCTGGTTCTTGAGGCACACCATGGTGTTGAGATGGTCATTCAAAAGTTATTCTTCCCAAAACAGAAACAGGACACAGCCCTCCCCGCCTTAGCCTAAGGCGCTTGTTTATGACGTGATCGCGAGTGATCACCAAAGTAAACTTCCTCAGTAGGGGGAATCACTCTGGCTACTCGTTCTAGATTTTTAAAAATTTCTAACTGCTACGACTCTAGTCTCACTCATTCTCAATTCTCGGTTCCCATAATTTGAATTAATTTCTGTGTGTGTGCGTGTGTGTGTGTGTGTGTGTGTGTGTGTGTGTGTGTGTGTGTGTGTGTGTCCTCCGGATTTAATACTTTGTTGGCAGGTCCATGATGCCCTCCCTCACGCCTACCCCATTTGCAGAAAAGTAAAAGAGGTAGATCTAGGAGCCTAGTAGACAAACTTAATTTGAGCTACATAAAAAGGTCCCCCATCAAGGAGGTATTGTTCTAATGTTCTTGTCCCCCATTCAATTGACCCTCCGTGGAAAGCGAAATTAGACGAAGTGAAAGTGAAAGGTAAGTAGGCCACAGAACTACTGAACCAAGAGGGTTAGCCTACAACAAATATTTATTCTAAACTGTTTGTCCTTCAGGCCTACTCAATTTATTGATATAGGCAAAATGGTTCAAATGTATGGGAAGGAGTCACAGAGGAGGATGACACTTTTCCCAGTAGTTTATTAAGAGAAATCAATTTCTGTCACTTAAAACCTATCTGAAAATGTTACGTTTACGTGTTACAAACTAAACTTACTGCAACAAAAATATACTCCAATGACTTGTAAGATAATTTTGATATTCTGAGCCCAGACGTATCAGTGTCAATTGTGAGCGAAAAAAATAATTTTTGATACTGCGCGTGCTCTTCTATCTGACCTACATGTATCTCTGGGCAGATGACATGAACTACTAATCCTCTATCGCGTGTCTCTTCTTTCTTCTTTATGTAAGTGTTTATCGGCGCTCACAATTGCATTTTATTACATATAGATCTAGCGCAGGACACCTTGAACACTTTCAATTGGGTATGAATAATTTTGAATTTTGCCCTGGTGGCGGCCGAAGCCTACATTCTTTTCGATTTTAGGCCTCCAATGGATCTTTAACGTGCGCAGCTTGTGCTTGTCCAACACAAAATGATCACAATATTATTTGTGAATGTTGTTCCATTAATTAAGAGCGAGCCTTTTAATCTAAAATAGTATGACAATCCTGATTTGTCTTTTTAATTTTAAGCAATATTGTTCAACTTTAGGCCTAAAGGTTGATGTCAAATGGCACTTAAGTGACACGCAGGAGTTCTTTATCTGTACGTTCATCTGAAGTTGAAAATAAATTAAGGCTGTCTACTGTGAGAATTTTGGCGCGTGTTGTTTCATTATAGTTGTTTTGTTTTGTTTTGGTTTGGGTTTTTTGGTTTGTTTGTTGTTTTACTTTGTGACTTCAAACAAACAAAACTCCTTTTTGAAACTTGATAACTGGAAAGTTCCAAAAATTGGGCGCAAGAAGGGTGTCATAATATACAAAAACCCTGATGAGTAGGAAGGACGGGCGCTCTGGTCCTCCCTCATCCCCTAAATCTCTCACACGCTGGCTTCAAGCGCCGCATCCCGGGACCTCGCCTCAGTAGCAGGCGTGCAAAACCAAGTGAGGGGGTGGTGCGAGGCTAACAGAAAACCTAGGGGTGGTGATTTAACACGGCACCACTGGGCGTATGACCTGTACCTAAGGCACCGTCCAGGGCGGAGACTTCCCAGATAAAGGACAACGGCCACGTGTTCAAGGTCAATGTGAGCCCCCGGGTATTGCAGGAAGTCGGCTGTGGCTCAGCCTGGAAAGCGATGTGCGCCGCCAGTCAACAGCCCAAGACTCGCTGTAGGAATTTAAAAAGAAAAGTAGATGTACATGTCGAGGCTTTCTGTCGTACAGCGTCCCATACGATCCTCGTAGATTATGGGATCAGTGAGTAGTAAGTAAGCCGTAAGCATATATGGAAAGAGAATGAAAAAAAAAATCAGCTTTCTCTTATACCGGTACGTTTAAAGTACAAAGTATGACGACATGTATTATAGTGACATGGTGCACTGGAAGTTATCGCTTTAAAAAAATTATCATTTATCAATAAATATAGAAATAAAACATTATTACGCGGGCCATAACCTCATTACTTACAGCTTTGATACAAGATTAATAAAAGGGTGATTGAAAGAGATGCAGGTAGTCAATAGTTATCTGCCACCCCCCCCCCCTCCCCCCACCCATTTTTATAGGGCCTACAATATTCAGTTGAGTGGAAGGTGGAAGGACGCGAACCCAAACCTAAGACAAAATTGGCCTGTAAGGACTCGAGCCCAGCTGTCGTTGCCTTACGAAAATATCAACAGAAATAATTGATATATCGATTTACAGCAGATAAGAAAGAACAGGGGGAGCAGGTATACTGAACGAAAGATAAAAAATATCTGTAGAAGTATGAAAGAGGAAGGTGTTTAACTTTCTTTTTCTTTTTTCTTTTTTTTTTCCTTTCTTTTTTTTTCTTTACCATCTTACAAATGACGCCACGGATAGAAACATGGATAGTTTATCTAAGTTTTTGTCCCGACATGCTGTAGACGAGTAAGGATAAGCTACATGCGTCTCAGCTTGTTAACTGTCCACCCCTCCGGGACGATACAGAAATGAATTTGGAAAACGTCGATCTATAGGCTATCTCTTGAAAGAAAAAAAAACGGTTCGCGAGGAAAGAGGGGGTGGGAGGGGGGGTGCCCTGCGCATGGCACGTGTACATATCCTAAATTGATATCCATTTTTTGTGCTTCTTTTTTAAAGTTTTTTTTTTTTTTGTCGTTCTTTTTCTCTATCATAAGAACTGTTCATATCTCCGGGCCAAATGGAGACTGACATGATGTGTAATCGAGCCATCTGTCGGGCGCAGACGAGGTATAAAACGGCTGCAGCCCACACCAGTTGTCACAGTTAACACTCATGTCCCCGTCACCAAGGTAACCGAGGATTCCACACCGGAGGCGAGAACGACAAACAAAAAGATTTATTTTCCGTCTTGACTTTCGCCCATCGTGAGTATACTGATACTGATTACGTAGATCCATGAGTGTTAAGTACATAGATTCTAGACTTTAATCAATACAATTGCACTACACTGGGCACTGTCGTGGCCACCACTCTTTGCTCTCCATGAAAACTTCGCCGCACTAGTGCGCGCCATGGATGCGCAAATGGGGGGTAAGACTTAAGTCTCGCTATTATTGAGTGATTGTGCAACTTTTCCTTCTTTACCTTTTGTTAATTGGTTTCAAATAGTCTAATGCAGTTTCGAGCTCGGTAAAAACTCTACTAAAACTAAAAGAGACAAATGAGGAACCCCAGAGTGAATCGGAATTACACACGGGGTGCCCAGTCTTGAATACTAGAACACACATCTAATATCTATGGTTCAGTACACTGACATTTTCAGCCTGGGTACCCCGACATTGATGAAGTAAATCTTTGTGTATTGGGTACCAGTCACCAGGTACCTACGACTTTTTCGGACTTTTCACTCTGTTGCTCAAAAATAGTGTTGCCGACGACTGACATCTTTCTCCAGGAGCACACACCTGTATGAAACCAATCGAAGGACAAAGAGGGAAAAGTGGTGCGCGCACTCAGCTATACAATATAGTTAGGCTGGTACTTTGTCATTATTTGCGCGGCAATGGTACGCACCAGCGCATGGAAGGTGTTATAGAGAGAAAAGAGTGGCGGCCATGACAGTACCCAGTCTAGAATAGCATAATAATGATAATAATAAATAACGTTCGTGTAGCCCAAATTCCCGCTCAACTGCAAACTCTATGCGCTTTACAATCTACATTATTACCCCAGTAGAATGAGTGATGGAGAAAGATCAGGATCATCTTCATCATCTAGTGACAGATCTGCGACAGACATCGGCGATCATGGTTCTCCATTCATTCCTTTGCTCGGATGCTCTAAAAAAAAAAAAAAAGCTACGTTTCCCTTATCTTTCCCTGTCACCCATTTGTTTAGGTTCCCTTAGTAGGTTGTTCTGGACCTACCCCTGCCTCGTTTGCCCTCAATATTGCCAGTGAGAGCTAGATGTTCAAGACCCTTATGTCTATTCAGGTGTCCAAAAAACTGCATTTATTGTCGTTTCCTAGTTGTTTTCAACATTGAGCGTCCCACTTGGGCTTCATCAAGCACTACCTCATTTGATTTCTTTTCCTTCCACGATACTCTTAGTAGTTAGTAGTCTTAGCAGTCTCCTAAGAAACCACATTTCTGTTGCTTTTATTTTATTTTGACTGTCTTTAGTGATTGTCCAGCATTCACAGCCATATAGAAGGATTGACCATGCATAGCATTTCAGAAAGATCAGGGATAGGATAGCTTTTTTGGGAGCATCTGAGCAAAGGAATAAATATGTGTCATTTTGGTGAAATCCGGTGCTCGTCAAAATAATGAAATCGATTAAATCGACAATAACAAACTCGCGACTTCAGAATTACAAAGATCTATCTGACATTTTTTGTCGTTTTGAGTTACTACGACCATAAGATTATAAAAACAAACAAATGTTCTATCTGCTCTATCAAAATCGTAAGATTATTCGGAGTTGTTATGAAGATATTCTAAGAATTGAAACTAAAAAAGTTTGACATATTATTGTAACAACTCAAAATTTTTAAAGTCAAATTTCTCAACTTTGTTATTCTAGCGTAGCGAATTGTCTCGCGAAGTGGTAGAATCAGGCACTCGTCAGTTGTTGTTCATTTTTCCCCCTTTCTTTCTATGAACCCCCC